TACGACTCACTTTACCAAAATACCATCTACAAAGGAAAAAAAAACAAACAATTTAATAAATAAAATGAATACATCAATTAGTTTTAACTTTTAAACTTCAATCCAAACATTTACACAACGGGTCAATCTTAAGCAGGTTCTGAAAGAATAAATTAAATCCTTTAAAAAAGAAGAAAAAAAATCAGACCACTAACACCTGCAACCTTACCAAAGAGTTAATGTTCTCCTCTTTTTGGAGGCTGTTAGTTAGTCAAGACTAAATAACAAGAATCTAAGTAACCACACACCCACGCTCTTACAGAATGTGACACAAGGTTGAAGTTTAATGAGGGAAGCCATTCAAAAATTTGCTCAAGTCTCCAGTCTTTTGAACAGGGGAAGAAATTTAACCCTTGTTTCTTGTTTAGGATTGGATTTCAGGTCCCTTCTAAAATTTACTTCAACTCTATACTTCTAACGTCTCTGCCTGAATTCTGAAATTTTATTTAATGATTATTTATTTATTCTTTTTTATATTTAGTTTTTTCTCCTCAACAGAAGTAGATAGGTGCAGTGTATCGTACAGTTCACACTCCTCCCTGGCCTTTTGAAAATGAGTAGAGGTTTATCCTTTATATATATATATATGTGTGTGTGAAAAATATATGAGTTCTTTCCTATTTTCTATATATTTTTCACACACACACACACACACACATATATATATATATATATATATGAATGAGATAATGACATAATTTTATATATCAAGAACAGTATTGAGAAAATTGTATGACAAAGTGGAAAAAGTTTACTTGTGACGTGTTTCATACTTCAGGACTTCACTGGACTAAATTTGTTATGTATTCTTAGTATATCTACATCTGTCTATCTGTCTATCTATCTATATATATATATATATATATATATAAAAGTATTTTTTTATTTGTGTTGATTTTGAAGTAAACTTGTATGAATGAAAATTATATATATATATATATATATATATATATATACTAGAAGCATGGCCCGGCGTTGTCCGTGCTTGATTCAAAAATAGTACGACTAATACAGCCATCGCTATCACTTGACTTAAAATATTTTTGCCCTTCCTTGCTTTTAAAGGAGTGCCCTTTGCCGTGCTGATGTTGTTAGATGCCTTACTTCTTGCCTATCTCACACACTGCCAACTTTTTCTAAGCTCTATAGTAAACATTAAATCTGTTACGAAAAAAAGAACTAAACAAAATAAACACAATACGATCAGCTTTAAAAAACCGGAAAAACATTTTTAAGGGTTGACCGATTGTCGATTTGCACTCTGTTTGGTGGGTGCTCAGAGTTGAAACTTCACATGATGACTCCCAGTGGCCTCTTCATAAATCCGCAGCCGGTTTTTTTAAAACCGACATGCGGTTCAGACGCAATCTGGGCGTATCGGGTTTTTGGGTTTTATTGATTTTCCGCGCTGTTTAGGGGTCCATGGTCATGAAACTTCAAGACAACACTTCTAATGGTAGACTCTAAGAGGGTGTCAAATTTGGTTGAAATGTGATCATTCCTTCTGTAAGCAGAATTTTTTCGATTATCGATTTTTTCGGAACCTGATTCTGAACTCAAAAATCGAGCTCTGTCATGTCCTTACGGCAGCCATTTGCAAACTTGTGTTGAAAACTGCATCGAAATCGGGTGAGAAATACGACCTGGGCGAGGTAACAATGCCCATGACAGACACACAACATGAGAAATATAGATAGTAGATATATATATATATATATGTGTGTGTGTGTATATATATATATATATATATATATATATATATATATTGAATAAAATAACTCATTTAGACATCTAGTAGCAGCCTATGTGCACCAGTTCTCTGTATTTGGTCCATCTGAAAAGTGTGGTTGGTTCTGCACAAGTATTCTCCATAATAACCAAATCATATGTGTTGGTAGTCTATGATATATATATATATATATATATATATATATATATATATATATATATATATATGTATATATATATATATATATATATATATATATATATATATATATATATATATATATATATATATATATATATATATATATATATATATTATATATTATATACACAAAATATTTAAGTCAATGTTTTGTTTATAACAAACAGTATTAACAACATTTGCCGGACTGAATGTTGTTAAATATTCTTAATACTGTTTATTATAAACAGAGCATTTACTTTTAATATTTGTGTATATAAATAACATATAACAATAATATATATTAAAAATAATTGTCACACTTAGTGCATTTCATTATATATATATATATATATATATATATATATATATATATATATATATATATGTATATTAATGCATATTTGGGTAGCAACCTTTCTTTCAAATGTTTTTTCATTAAGTATGTCCAACAAGGAAGATTTAATTAATTTTTTATTTAGTTTTCATCTTTATGTATTTTGTAGGATTAATGGAGTACAAAAATTTTTATTGTCCTAACCACTTTCAGCCACTTGAAAATATTTATAGAAGTGGCCAAACCACTTAGGTAATAAAAATATATATATATATATATATATATATATATATATATATATATATATATATATATATATATATTCATATATATATATATATATATATTCATAGGATAAGGAACAATTAGAAACCATTTATAAATTTAATACGTTTCACTTTTATTTAAGCTTCATTAGAAAAATGAAATATGAAGGAGAAATCAAATGTCTGGTATTTTTAATTTTTGTTTATTTTTCATTGGTTAAGCTGATCTTGCGTATTTGGTCTTTCTAAGTATCGTTCATGTGTATAACTCTTATGTATTTGTGTATCACAATTCCAGTTGGTCCATGTAAGTTTTGGTTTATAATAGACATGCATGTGTGTTATCAACCAACTCCGACATATTTGAAATGCATCCAAAATGTAAACAAAACACTTTCTAAAGAATTAATGAAAATTATACTTTAAACCAGCATATTTTTATTACTTCAAGCCTTAACGACTTACTGTGCTTAAAAGCCTCACAGACACACACACACATATGTGCACATATGCGCACACACACACACACACACATATATATCGGATGTAAAAGCAAAAAAATATGTAACAGCATAATTGTCCATCCCACAAAATGGTTATTATCCATCTACAAAAATTCATCTAAAACAGTGGTTTTCAACCAGGGTTCCGTGGAACACTAGCGTGCCGCCAGTAAAGCCCAGGGGTTCCGCAAGAAGTTACACAAGTACTATGATTGAAAGTAATTTTTAATTCTCCTCTGCAGATGTGTAGAAGATGAACTTCGTGTGTGTCTGTCAAAAACACGACCCAATATTAAAGACTTGTGCAAGAAACATCAGGATTAAGTTTCTCATTGAATTTTTAATGAAAATAAATGTAATCCATTTAATGTGAAGTTTTTTTTTTTATACATGTGTAATAACCATAGAAGCAAGATTAAAATTGCATATGTACGTATATAATATTTTTACAGTTTGTCTTTGTATTTTTTTGTAAATAAATCTGAAGATGAGTATTTTGATTTTATTTTAATAATTGAAAGCTTTTTTTTGCATAAGAGAATTAATTTATTGCATGGGTTCTTCGAGCCACTGGTATGTTTCCTTGTGGTTCCGCTCCAGCAAAATGTTGAAAACCACTGATCTAAAAAGCGACTAAACTTTTTTTTACAGGTACTCAGATAAGACGTTTAGCCATCTTGACACAATCTGTTATAGGAATCTCTGAAAAACCCTTTGAGTTTCTCAGCTAGAAAGAGAGCAAGTTAAAATCAGTTTATGTCAGCTATACTATATCTCACCAAATAAGCAATGGTGAGAGTAAAAAGATCATTCAGTCCTTCAGTAATGGTACCGACATTCATACTCTGGCTTCCATCTTCAAAGTCCATTCAAGAACCATGAAGAGAACCGTGAATAAGTTTAAAAAAAGAGGGAACAGTTGAGAGGAAAACTGGATCAGGAGGTCACAAAAGGAAGAGGGATCATCATGTCAACTTAGAGCTAAAGAGATCAATTAGAAAAGATCCAACTCAATCCATAAGACATTTGGCATGTGAGAGAAGAATTTCAGCTATGACAGTTCAAAGAGCAATATAAAAAAACTTGAAAATGAAATTGTATGTGAAACATTTGAGGCACTTGGTTACTCCAGTACATAAGGTTAGAATGTTAGAGGGCGAAGATCATCTTGAATAAGTTAAAAAATGATCCTGGAATAATATGTATATATCAGAACTTCATATCAATTCTTCATGAGCCTTTGATCCTTAGCTGTAATCAATTAATGATGAACATGTCATTTTCGTCTATGATCGATTTCATCACGATTCTTCTACTAAGCTTGGAGAGTAATTATACTTTCTTATTGCTCAAAGTAGAGTCCAATAGTGTTATAAAAACCTCATAAAATTCCAGTAAAATTTCTTTAATCATTTCTAAGATACAACGGTTCAAAGGTTAATCTAACAATTGGACAATTTTCCTGTTACACCTGGTGTATCAGGCACATACAATCAGTAATTACTCCGGATTGGCAGCTTATGACATTTATGTAGTAAATCTAATGCATAATAATCTGAGTAATGTTCATAATTTTGTTGGATTAGGTGCATATTGTGTCAGAAGGAAAATGTAGCTGCTGATCACATTCACAGTAGGCACTGCCTACATTGCCTACCTAGACGGCACATCCCTGATATATATATATATATATATATATATATATATATATATATATACTGGCAGTAGAGTCCGGCATTGCCCGGGGATGTAACAGTAAGAGATAGATCAAGTATCAACCATCATAAAGACTGAAAAATAAAATTGACAAAGATTATTGTTTAAGGTTGACAGACACGCATGTCTTAGTTTTTTTTTTAACGAATTGGTGAAGCCCAAACTCAAACAAAAACATTGTTTTCAATCGTTATGAGTCTACCGATTGAATAGAATTTTATTATAAACAA